ATATTTCCTCTGGCCCCCACCTGATTTCTGAAAATGTCATCAGGGACAGTCATCAAATATAATCTCTTCCTCTTTCCACATGACCTCTTGCCCAGCTTAATTAATAGCTTAACATTTGGCAGTGGTAACACACGGCAATTAAATCTGGTTTACTGTTGTGTCGCTTGTGAGGGAGACTGGATGACACTTTGTGTAGCTGTCAGCAGCCCTTGCCTAGGGTGTGCCCCATAACCTGGAGCCTCCCATTCATCTCGCTTCCTTTGTCAGGCCACTGGCTCCTCGTAACAAACCATCTCAGAGATGACACATTACTTCCCTTGGCTTCTAGTCAGCTAAAAATAATTTAGATGATCTCTAGTGTATTTTTTCCTTACGTACTTTTCCCTTCTATTGTTATGGCTAACCGAAAATAACACAAATTTCTTAAGTGTCTTCTAAATTAATATTTTTCCTCTGTGCTGTTACTGCGCCACTAAACTAACCCTGGTCCACGGGCACTTAGGCAACTGCATTTCTCTTCACTCTTAACGCTTTGTTTTGCAGCACAAACCAAAATCTACCAGATACCCTGGAAGTCGCTTTATTTAATACAAATGAAAGTTTCAGATCATCCAAGTTGTTTTTGTAACCTATTAATTCGGTGGTCTGAGCCATTGAAATCCAATTTACTTGGTCTAAACAAGGGAAATGCCTTCCAGAAGCAGGCCGGATGATATTCTGGACTCCCTAGCGTCTTTTTTGAACGATCACTTTGGAACTTCGCTCTTCCCTGTCCCTCTGGACGGGCTGTGCCTTTCTGTGGCCCTGGCCTTCGCCTCCATGCCTTCCCGCAGGTGCCCCGACAGAGACCGGGCCGCTTCCTTAGCACCCTTTCCAGCGTCCCCCGTGGGTGCGCTCACTCCCTGCATCACGCAGCCTTTCCATTTCAGTGCTTGGGTGAGCGCCAGGGCCCAACGCAGTCACTTTTCTAAAGAGGTCACAGATATGTGGCAAGGTAGGGAAGAGTCACCCCGAACAAAATACAGGCCTCCACCTGGCCTTGTTCAAATGGACACATTCTTGAACCGGAGACTGACTGGGCTGCTTTTGTTCCCCTTCTGCTCCGTGTCTCTCTTTCTACGCTTAATTGTGTAGAAAAAACAATGTTCACTGTGATGAACTTGCCCAAGTGAGTGAGCTCCCATTTCCTAAGTGGTCAACAAGGGAACACAGACCTTAAACCTGGCCATCTCTAGCATGAATTGCCATTATTTCTCCTAATGCTCCAGCTGCTCCAGTTTCTCCTGGCCCTTCAGATCCAGTTGCCGTTGTTCCCTCTGGCTCTTCAGTTCCAGCTGCTGGCCCTTCCTCAGGTATTGGTGCACTGGCTCTTGCTCACTGCCCGGCCTTCCCACTCAGACGTGCTGGGGGAAATGACCACTGCCGCTGGATCTGGATCTCACACTCCTTCTGATTGTTCTCAGAAATTACCTCTACAAGGGGCTTAGTCTTCCAGCTTGGGGTCTTCTCTTTGGCTTTTGGTCTCTTACTCTGCAAATCTAATTCTGCCATCTTAGCTTCTTTAATGAGTTTTCTAATTTTTTTGTGCTCTTAATTGAATTAATTTTGAGCATTTGTGAATTGCTTGGTAGTGTACCAGCCACTTACATTTCCCCCCCCTCTTTGGCAGTCTTACTAATTCATTGTATGTATTCTAATTGTCTTAAACTTGTGGACCGTAAAAAAACAGTAAATATTAGGCCAGTCCTCTGTGGTCATGGAATAATGGGAGGAGAGGGACCTTAGAGAGCATGTAGTTCAACTGCCTTATTTTTATTCAGGAAATCCAGGCCACAAAGGGTAACATGACTTGCTGGAGTCACATAGCTTGGTGGCAAAGCCAGAAGACATAGAACTTTGGCCTGATGGTTTCACACCCAGTGTTTTGACTCTTTCTGGTGAGGGGTTACTTCTGCGGATACCACTGTGGATACTTGGAAGCTTTCAAATGAGGAGTAAAGTGCCCAGTTACTTGAGTGGTCCTTTTCAAGGAGCAACAGAGCCGCTGGGACTCGGGGAAAATTACCTGATCATCAGTTTGTCTTTAGTTTTGTTTTTTTAATAAATGATTGAAACAAATCCAGTATCCTAAAGAACATGCTCTAGAAAAGAGGTCCTCAAGTTCTAGTATAATACTGAAGAACCTGGGATGCTTATAACTAAAGTAGAAAGACTCAGGCCTTCCTTGCCTAGACCTGCAACCAGAATCCTGCAAGGTAGGGCCTGAGATGTGTGATTTCAAAGTTTTCCTGGTGGTTCTGGTATGCTTTCTGGGTAAGAACAACTGCCATGGAGTCTAGCAGTGTTTCTTAAAAGAGGTGTATTTAAAAGGTGTATTTCTGGGCCCCCTCCCCAGACCTATTATCCTAGAATTTCTGGGAATGAGGTCATCTTTAAGCTCCTTAGTGATTGTTATGTCCATTAAAATGTAGAAGAATGCTGATCTAGAAGGTTTTGAGTCGTTCAACAAAAGACCTAGAGCAATGGCTTCTTACCAAGTTCAGTGACCTCTGATATGTTCCATTCTAATCCATCCTATTTCATTTTTTAAAAGTAGGTCATCAAAACTCATTAAATTGCTTTTAAACCCCTAACCCCCACTGTAGTTTGAAAAACTGAGGGGTGAGATGTGCTTGTTAATTCTAACTATCAGAGATTTAAAACTTTTCTCTCAAATTGCTCTACTTTTCCCAATTACTCCTGTTAAGCATTAATACCTACTTGCCTCATGAGGAAAACCCACTTTTGTCACAGTCATACAATACTTCCACTGTGTAAAAAGTGGACTGCCCTTGTTCCCTGGACATGGGACATCTTGCCAACTCCACAATGCTGCTGCTAATGGCTTGTATCAATCACGGTGCAAGTAATAGAAAACTCAGCTACAGTAAAAGAAATTTTTGAAAAAAGACATTATTTTGTTCATGGAACCAGCCATCCAAGAGTAGCTTAGTTCAGGTGCTGATTTATTCCAGACTCAGACAGCCACCTGGATCCCCACAAACCTCTCTTTCCTGGGGTGGCTCCGAATATGGCCAATTAAGTTCTCTCTTCATGAGGGCAGCAGGCCCCAGCTACACGCTGCCATCTGAGCTGAGAACGACTCCTGCATACTGAGCGCGGATCTAGTTGGGCTGATTAGACCACATGCTCTCTCCTGAATTTACCACTGGGGTCTGGACGGGATACTGGAGCTGTAACTAGGGTCAAATCTCAGGCACACCTCATGGCTAAGGTTGAGAAGGATGATTACCTAAGGAGAATTTGAGATACTGCCCCAGGAGCAAGATTAATGGATGCTGGGCAGCAGATGTCCTCTATGGGCCATGCATGTCCATGGGCTTCCTCTTTGCCTCCCATTTCCTTGGTTGTGACAAGCCTTTTCTTGCGGCTTTTCACACCTGTGGAAGCCAGTAGAGTGTCCCGAAGTTCCTGATTTAAATCTCATGTGCAGTAGCCACTGTCAAAATCAAGCACAAGGGAAATGACCGTTTAAGTAATTTGAAATAATTGGTTTAAATTCACTACCAGAATTTTACTGGTTTATAAATGAAGAGGAAGAAGAAGTATACTTATGGTGACCCAAACTAGACAATAACTGTTGGTATTCACAAGGATAGTGGACCAGCCTGTGTAATTTTCCCTGGTGTCCTTTGAATAGACTTTTCAAATAGGCCTGAGTCTTTTCAGGAGTAATCTGAGCGCAGTCAGTGCCTAAAAATACCTAGTGACCACTAATACATTAAAAGTTATAAAAGTTAGGTATAAAACTTAAATCTGGCAAATAAAGCTCCGTTGATCTATTGGTTACCTTTCACAATTGCCCTATGTACCATTTCATGCTTTCTCTTTCTCAAGCCTTTCATGAAGCAGAACAGAAATACTTTCTAGTAGGGGATTAGAAAGTGGACAATAATTATTTAGTTAAAAATAATATTGATCTGTTCAAAATGGAGGTGTTTTTTTTTTATAATCCAGCATGGAGAAAGAATGGTGAAATAATTCTTTTAATGATTCCAGGTTCTTATCTACTTTGAAAGAATTTAATGTAAATAAGCATTTCATACATGAGAGACTGAATCTTGTTTTCCCCCTCAATAACAGTATCAGGATCTCTACTTTGTAACAGATTGCTCCCAGGTTTTCAAACATACGTGCTTTATACACTGTATGGTGATTCTGGGCTGTGCATTCTGCCCTGGCCACTAGCCTGGCTAGCATTTAGATTTTCTCTGCATTCATGTATGCTTAGAAAATCCATATCCAAAACACCTTTGGTTTTTTTTCTCTCTCTCTAAAATGGATACAAAATAAACACCGTAAGGTTTGTATTGCTCTCCTAACTTGGTTTGTGATTTTGCATAAAACTTTAAATTCTCCCTCATAAATTTATTCTCCTCTAACAGTATGCCCATTCATTTCTAATTTTCTAATTTCTGTCTTTTGAAAGCTAAAGCATTTTAATTGCTTATGGAAACTAATCAGTCTCCTATCCTTGGCAGTGATTTCATTAAGATCTGATTTGTTTTTAATGAAGTTTTTCATATATATATGTTGTTATATTTTGGTCTATAGTGTGGCTTGATCTAAGAACCCAGTCTACCGTTGAGCATCTTAGTAAAAGAATCCCAGGAAATAATAACTTTGTCAAGGTAAGAGAACTCTTCAAAAGTAACACTATGTGAATGCTTGTTTAAAAATGCAGAGGTTTCACCGGAAAGACTATTCAGGCCTTACATGTTATTGCACAATAGTCATGTCATACAATTTGTAAAGCGTTTCTGCACAGGTAACTGAGGACAGCTCAAGTCTTTTCTGTCTTCCTTGCCCTACTTGGAGGAATAATATCCTAAGGTTGGTTGGCTGCAGGGGATTATAAAGTATCCCCATGGTTTCAGCCGTCTTCCCCAGGGGGTGCTTCTTGTCACTGAATCCTGACTTTCAAATCCATTTCTCTTGTTTTCTACTATCCATCAAAGAAAGTTCTGGGTGCTTTTGAGTGTTTCAGCCCCGGGATTCGGGGAAAGGAAGTAGGAGACATTTTATTGACCTCTGTCTTTATTGACTTTAGAAAGAGGAAGGGAGTGAGAGAGAAACATCGGTGTGAGAAACATCGATTGCCTCCCACACATGTCCCGACCGGGACTCGAACCCACCACCTTCTGGTGCGCTGGACAAGGCTCCAACCAGCTGAGCCACAGCGGCCAGGGCCATTTCATCGACCTCTTTATTAAACACTCCCGCTCTCTTGATCTGAATACAGCTAATAAAGAATTGCCTGGTTTGGAGGCCTCTTCAGATAAATGAAGGGAGAGGGAATTTTTGAAACAGGCAAGGTATTGTCATCTCCCTTATATTTTTCAGTGGGACTCTTAGGACAATTTTTTGTGGTTCTTGGTTTTGAAACTGGTGTTCAAATCGTATTTATTACAGGATATATGGAACTGACTGATAGCTGTCAGCGGGGAGGGGAGGGGGGGACTGGATAACAGAAGGCGAGGCAATTAGCCAAAGAACATATATGCGTAACCCATAGATACAGTCAACAGTGTGGTGATGGCCAGAGGGAAAGGGGGGGATGGGGACATCTGTAATAGTGTCAACAATAAAAATCAAGTTTAATTCTCCATTGATTTTAAATTATTTGAATATGAATGTGTGTCAATATATATTTATATTGTACTTGTTTTTATACACATGAATGTAGTGTTAAGTCCTATGTTTTAAACAAACTTTTCTGGTTTTGGTCATTAGTTTATAATTTCATATACTCTCCGATTGTCAGTAGCTTATCACTTTCATGGAATATAAAATAAAAAAGCAGAGCTTTGGACTAGGTTAATCCAAGTCATCGCAAAAATCTAGATTACAGGGCATCGTGCCATTTGATTTCCTTTTTACTATGCTACGTGGATGCTCTTTGAACTGCAAACGTGTTCCTCTGATCTTTGTTCATGAACGTGCCTTCCTGTGCCATGAGATAGGTAAGGTATTTTTATCCATAATACCATGCCTTTAGGGCCACTGAATATTCTGTGATTTGTGGAGGTTTTTTGTTTGGTGTCTTGTATTATTTACAACTGTCATGAATTTAATTTGCAATTCTTTTTAGTCCAAAACAGGCCTCCCACTTAGCACTTACTTCAGTGCTGTGAAACTTCGTTGGCTTCTTGACAACGTGAAAAAAGTTCAAAAGGCTGTTGAAGAAGATAGAGCTCTTTTTGGGACTATTGATTCATGGCTTATTTGGGTACGTTTAAATAGAATGCATTTATGGAGAAATTTTTTAAAGAACAGTTTTGGACTGCCATGCCTACTATCTGTTTACTAAGAGTTCGGCCTCCATTTTTCTTGCCTTATTTCAGTAAAAATGGAGTATGATTACCAAAACCACATCTCATGTATTATCTTTAAGTAATTTCAGTGATTAGTAATTGGTAATTTAGGTCGTCTTTCTCTCTTGCCTTTCATAAAGTTTTCCACTAGCCATTTCTTAGAAGAAACACTATTTAACACGCTGAAACGCCTGGGCTAACTTTTATCATTTGCTTTCAACAGTACACAGCCGCCTGTCTCTTATTTAATTAAGCTATAGAATGAAAAATCGTAGTGGAAATTTCTGATATATAATCTTTTTGCCTAAGCTGGACATGAATAAGTAAAAGTAACATTTCAAACATTTCCCAGATATTTCTTTAAAGTACATGCTCTCTCTCTGTCTCTGTCTCTGTCTCATTTTTCTTATAAGTATTTTCAAACATACCCAAAGCAGCAGGGAGCCAGCTACAGCTACAGCTACAGCAACCGACGATGGCCAATCTTGTTTCAACTAGACTCACACACTCTTTCTCCCCACAGATCACTGTAGAGCAAATCCCAGACACAGAATTTCACTTGTAAAGACTTCAGCAGTCTTCAACATCCAGGGAGCTTCAAGGGAATATTGTCCCTACTACCAGCCAGATCCCCACAGCTGGCCTTGAAAACCAGGGTCCAGAAGCTCACCTTACACACACCGTGTTAGCAGGCCGTGCCCTGTGGTCATGGCCAGCAGTTTTCACACGTGTCAGCCGCAGGGGAACTAGTTCTGACACTTTGACAGTGACCTGGAACCAGAGTCAGGCGCGATGTGGGAGCTGGGAGCTGCAGGGAACCCAAGGGCGCGCATTCCCTGTGTGCCCCCTGTGATGTCTTTCTCCACTTTTCTTCCTTTCTTACCTCATTGCTTCCACATAAAAGAAAGCAGCACTAAAAATTAGTAATAACGATGATAATAAATTAAGTAATTAAAAAATTTTTCTTTTATAGAAGAAGGCATCGGTGCTTTCAGTTCCAGTCTAGGGACATTGACATCAGAGATTTTAAAACTCTGCTTTCAAGGTTGAGCTTGGGTCAGTGCAGGCACAGCCCAGGGAGAATTATTCCAAAGCAAACCGAAAAGAACAGCAAGACAAGGTTGAGGAAGATCCTGAAGAGGCAGACATTTCAATGTTTTCCACTTTGCCAGATTTAGTAAGACACTGCACTTTCCAAAGATTAGAGGGTGAAAACAAGGCTGGTTTTTTGTTCAGCTATCAGTTAACTAGAGCTGTGCTGTCTAATACGGTAGCCGCTTAGCCTTGAAATGCGCCTGGTCTGAATCGAGGCATGTGGTGGGTGTAAAACACACACTGAATTTCAAAGAGTTAGTATCCAAAAAAGGGTAAAATGTCTCTAGTCGTTTCTATGTTGAAAGGATATTTGGATATATTGGGTTAAATGAAATATGTAGTATTATTAGAATTAATTTTACCTGCTTCTTGATGCTTTTTAAATGTAGCTACTAGAAAATTTTCACTTCCAAATGTAGCTCGCTTTGCATTTCTATTGAACACTGCTGAAAACTAGCAAATTAAGTAGTGGAAAGGTGCCGCTCTGCTTTATATGCTCTGCTGCTGATTATGGCCCTTGGCGAAATGTAAATTAAATTGCAAACCAGTACGAATTTCTCATGTCCTATTTATTCTGTCCAGTGTTTGACAGGAGGAACCAATGGAGGCGTCCACTGTACGGATGTAACGAACGCAAGCAGGACGATGCTTTTCAACATTCATTCTTTGGAATGGGATAAGGAGCTCTGCGAGTGAGTCGTATTTCCCCTAAAAACAGTTTTCCAAATATGTTACCTATTTGTGACCGAAATTGTATTTTTTTTTCCAAAGTCAGTGGAGCACCAAACTTTAAATGCTGGTATTTCAGCTACGACACACAGGCCTGTGCTGTGTAATTTTTTTATTATTTTTTATTTATTTATTTTTTTAGATATGTCTATTGATTTCAGAGAGAGGGAGAGAGAGACAGAAACATCAATGGTGAGAGAATCATTGATCAGCTGCCCGGGGATCGAACCTCCATCTCCCAGATCATAGGTCGAAGCTCAACCTCTGAGCCACGTCCTGCAGGGCTGTTGTGTAATCTTTTAAGAGAGACTATTGTTGCGTATACAATAAACATGCCAAATTACGCAATTGCCTCAGTTATTCTCCAAGGAAGATTAGGTTGCTATAGAAAAGTACTTAGGTTTCTGTGTGCTTTTTATTTTTTATTGATTGGTTTGTATAAAATTCTAATGTTAAATATCTAGTCATACAACTGTGTTCTGCTGCTTTCTTTATTTGTTACTATTTACTTTTATACTCAAGTACATCCATTTACTAATTGCTATTTACATTTTTTTACCTTTAAGTGCATGTAAATTTTCTAGATATTTATTTCAAAGTGTTAAATACACAATCTTATTGTTTTCAGATTTTTTGAAATTCCAATGAAAATTCTTCCAAATGTCCGGAGTTCTTCTGAGATCTATGGCTTAATGGTAAATATAAATTTTCATTTTAAGAACTTTACTGTTCAGAATTTAAAAATCAGTTGTGTTACATTTGATAGTTTGAGGGTTGTGACTTCTCTGTGAATGTTGGTAGTATATAAAATAAGATTTTAGTATTTAAATCATTTTATAACTTAAAAATTGTAGAGTGCTTACCAATTCATTTTATATTTTTTAAACTTTAATTGGCTTTTCTGTGAGTATTATATTTTTGAAGTATTACTGGGATAATCTAACCTTTTTAAATTTATTTTTTATTTAAATACTGTTGGTATACAGCCTCTTTTAATGGTCAAACCATGTTTTAGATTACATTCTTTGTCAGCCTGAGCAAAACTCTAGTAAAAAAAACCTGAAAGCAAAGAGTCTATTTCTGATATGTGATTGCTCATTAAACTGGGTTCCATAATGGACATTTTTACTGTTGCTTTCACTGAAACTCAGAGAAAAAGTAGTTTTAGCAAAAAATGTGCTTAGCATCATTGAGTATTTGATTACACATCAGGGATGAAAAGCTCTAGGAGGACTTGTACTGATGTTTGAACACGAAAATCTGGAATTAATGATAAAACTTAAAAGTGCATCTAAGAAAAAATTGCAAGAAAATTATTTAGACATTTCATGGCGAATATTAGAAACTCTATAGTGTTAGCAGTAATCAAGTTGAACACTAAGTGCTCTGGATAAAGCTTGAGCAAGAATTCTTAAATGTTTTGTTCATAATAAAGCCTTTTAAGGCAACAGGGAGTTGTTTAAGGGGTAGTCACTGCTTATCTATAGTGAAAGCGTGTAGATGATTTTATAGCTCTCTACAAACTGAGTCATGTCAGAGAGAAAAAACTACTCTTGAGAAACCGTTTCAGAGGATGCTTGAAAAAAACATTTAACTGGCTTAGTTTTCTCTTGCGTTTAAAATATTATGCTTCTGTCCCCCTTTTTCCCCCTTGCTGACTATAGAAAATCTCTCATAGCCTGGTGAGTAGGTTGCCCACCAATTATTCTACCCATTCATTCGGAAAAGATACAGTGCATTTCCATTTAGTTTTAAATAAGCAGAAGTCCATTTACCAAACAGATTTCTTTAGAATCGTGACTCTCTTCAAATTATGATAAGCTCTAGTCAAGCTTTAGGGTTTCTTTTAAGTGATGTTTCCAAACGAAAGACTGCGCTAAGTTTCCTGGCCTGAGGACTTCTGATGTCCCAGTTACAAAGTACAGTTGTGATGTGCTTTGGGCTTTAGCATAGTAGGGAAATCAGACGTGACTTTCAAGTGTTCCAAACATCTACCTTGACCAGCCTTGGAGACCAGTTAGCTGGAAATGCACTGTCACTTTTTCTGCATGCTTCATCGGAGGATGTTCCCAGGAATCTTCCAGAGACCCCTCCCTGTGAAGAGAAAGGAACTCTTTCCCTGCCTGACCTCACACAGTAGATCCTGCCGGTAGTTTGATAACAGCGTCAATGGTCTAAGAAAAGGCTTCTTTTAAAGGGTTCCCACGTACATGCTATGATTTCCGTATCATCAGAGCCAGCGAGGTGGCTTCTATTCCTGCCCTCACTCTGACGGGCAAGGGGGCCTACAGCTCCCAGAGGCCAGGAGCCTGGCCCACAGGTCACAGGCTGCGGGTGGGTCCAAGGCTTTTGTTTGGGGCGCTTCCTGGTACATCACACCCAGCTCAGGGATCACCTACCTTCCCCTTAATCCCTTAATACTAGTACAGATTGCTTTGTGTCAGTGTATGTTTCTTTAAAAAAATAAGTCTGTTGAAGTACACAGTCAGCCACTTAAATCTTGCTTTTCTCCCTGGAATGCTGGCCATACTTGATCAAAATAAAAACCACTCCTCGTGACATAAATTCACTCTTGCTTATCTAAACTTGAAGAATGACGTTAGCTATGAACAAATACTACCCAATACCTGAACACTGTCGTGTTTCTTATCTGAAGAGCAGTTCGGGTAGGAGGAAGGGTTGGTAAAATGCAGCCTTCCAAAAGAAATCAGTTCCATGCTGGCTTGATAGCTATGATTAATATGTTCATTTTAAAGAACGTGTTAGTCTTTTCTCAGTAATGGCGATAATAGCAAAGAATTAACGGTCTTCGTAGAACCCAGGCCCCATTTCGCAGATAAATAGATCAAGGCACAGAGAAGTTGCAGCGGCCTGCTCAGTGGCTTAATTCTGACTAACCAGGAATAGAGCCCCAGTCCGATGTCTCGTGTCCATTCTCCAGCGCCATGTCTCTTCTTGTCATTTTAGGGCTACTTCTAATATCTGTCTCTGAGCCCCTCATGTAGTTGAAACACTGGCTTTGTCTTGTCTGCCCCACATACTCTGGCATGTCGCCATTCACGCTCGTTCCTATTGCAGTTATGTGAGCAGAGCCACCCATTTGCGGGTATTCATCATTCTTTTTTACATTTTTATTAGAAAGCTGGGGCCTTGGAAGGTGTGCCAATATCTGGGGTAAGTCTCCCCACCTGACCTCTCCCTGCTGCCTCCCCGCCCTCACCCCTTCCACGGGAAGGCTTTCCTTCTAGATCTCAATCAACCTGCCCCTTTTCAAACCCTGGGAAAGACGTAAGAGCAGCAAAATCGGCGCATTTTCTTTCTTACGTGGGTTGAGAATCTTTTGAATAAGTTAATTCTGACACTCCCTTCACATACCTATCATCTCATGGGGTATTAACAAATAAGAAACTGGCCAAATGGAGGCAATGCAAAAAACATAGACCAATTCATTCCTTGATAAATAGAAAAGGAAAATGAAGTCCTATGGCTCGTCTCAAAAGGAAATTAGTAATATTGTCTCAGTGTTCTTTATTGTCATTTACACTTCCAGTGTTTGGGGGACCAGTCTGCGGCATTGGTGGGACAAATGTGCTTCCGAGATGGACAAGCCAAAAATACGTGAGTTTAAGAAACAGGCCTAAAAACCAATGGTGCTTTGTTTTTCCCTTAGGTGCTTTGAATGAGGAAAAGCTTTTGATGTTCATCCGGGCTGAAAATCAGTAGCTTAAGAGTTCCAATAGGAATATACACATTTTTTCCACTTGCTTTTCTTTAGCTCCTTCAAATAAAATACACTATGCCACATGTAAACACATTGGTGAGGCTTGTGAAAACCTTCATTTATAAAATTCAATACCTTTTCCAATCCAGAAACTAAATTTTGGTTTACAGTATCCATGCCTTTTTTGGGGTGGTCGGCAGGGGAGGGCTGAACAGAGGGGAGGAAGAGCCATGTTTTAAACTACAATTTTCGACATATTGTTCCTGCCCTAGACTTTCTCACTATAACTAGAAAGTCATATTTTTGTGGACCTTTCAATGCTATTCTCCTGGCACTGCATTCTCTCCATTACATGGAGTTTCCCCTTTGACAAGATGCAGAAGGAATGATAAAAGTCGAGATTTGGTGCATTTTTCTCCTAATCTCATCTCCTTACTAACACGCGTAGAGTCTTAACAAGCCCCACATCTAAGAGTACTAAGATTGCTCCCACTTCAGGGTGAAAAAAACATGCTCAGGGAGGTTAAGCTAGTAAGTGACAGAAGCAATCCTTGCACCCAGATCCATCTGCTTTGACTTAGCCAGACTCTTGCACTTTTATAGTCCCCAGTGTGATAAAGATTTCCATAGGCCTGGCAAGAGACTATCTACATTTTATTGTTCTTTTCTTGAGAATTTCCTAAATCCCTCTCGTCAGTGTTTAACTTCGGTGATTAAGTTCTTCTGTGGAATGCCTAACATTTTAGAGTACATGTTCTTGTAGTCTGGCAGGGTCAGCAGTCCTCCTGCGAGAGTATGAGAGGGTTTTTTTTGCTGGGGGGAGGAGAGGGGGTAATAAACATTGTTTGCAGGTCATGGTATCCTGAGGTTGCCATGAACAAGAGAGCTTGAGTCAGCATGGATCTGGAAACATGCTCTTTGAATTCTGGCTTCCAGGCAGCTTAATAAGGCAAATGATAGAAAGCTGGGCTCTTCCCCCCTCCTTCTTTCCTCTTTGGCAGGAACACTAATGCTAGTCTATGAGATGCTAACCCCATTTGTCAAGTACTTAACACGGTACCCAATAAAATTGCCTGGGGTTCCTCTTTCTGCTTAAGCATTATCAGCAAGCCCTGAAATGATGGATTGAGGTAAGGGAGGGCTCGTGGCGTAGGTCTGCAGCTCGGAGGAGGGGGCAGCAAATTAGAAGGTCTTTGGCCCTCGTCCTGAGGGGAAGAGCACAAATAGGCAGTTAATCATAATATAAATGGGAACTTCGGGTGCCTTAAGAAACTTTAGGGTACAGCTGTTAGGTTCCAAAGGGAGGGAAGAAAAATCACAAAAGACTATTAGTAACAAGGTGTTCTGAGGAATGAGCGGTATTGGCGAGTGCGCAGAGCACTGAACAGAGATGCAGGTGGGGAAACGGAGGCTTTGTTGAGAGACTCTAGAGAACACTTGGGGAGAAAGTGGTAGGAAAGAAGGCCAGGATCATGGCGTGAAGCCCTAGATTTCAGACTGAGGAGTTTTCTTCTTTTTCTTTTTTCTAACGAGAACAAACCCATTTTATTTATTTAGTTTTCAGTAAGTTTAAGGCCAGCGTTACACAGATTCTGTGTCCAGTGGCCTTAGCAGGAGGGTTGCTTGGGAATTTGGCAGGAACCATGCCACTGTTTCCATGCGCACAAGTAACCTTTCCCCAGGTGACTCTGGGTTTGTCCGGTTTGCCACCAGAAGTCACTGTGTTGTCCTTTGCTTTGTGCACATGAGCACATCTCTTGCCCAGACAGCATTCAGTTTCGTCTCGAGCATAGTCACCCTCAGTTTTAAGATCTGTGTGCTCCTTCTGGTTCCAGAGACCCTGCTTATAACCAGCAAACGTGGCCTTGGGCCACAGCCTTGCAGACATAGTTGTCCTTATAGAGGTCCTGTCCCCAGCAGCCTCCACAGGCTCCGAGATGGCAGAAAGAGCCTGAGGACTTCTTTTCTTGATAGGCAGTGGGACACTTCTGAAGGTTTGTGAGCTGGTGTTCAGAGATGACTGGGGCTGTTTGTTTAATCATAGAGCAGTCCTAGGTCAAAGTGAGGAGAGGCTAGAGGCAAAGAGGCCGTGGGGAGGCTACGACAGTGTGCTCATAATGAGATCAGGGACCAAGAAGGATGGGGCCCTGGCCGGGTGGCTCAGTTGGAGCATCCTCCCATCCACCAGAAGGCTGTGGGTTTGGTTCCCTTTGGGGCACAGAGAGGAAGGCTGCCGGTGGATGTCCTTGGCACTGCAGAAGCAGAAGATACAGGAGTCTAGGTATGGAGTCTACTCACCTGCGCCCACTGGTTAGGCTTAGCCAAAATAAGGAACGGGTTCAAGTAGAAGAATTTCTGTTTGGGAAATGTTTGTGATACCGGTAGGCTATATATTGCACATATTTGTAAATGTGGAATGAGTTTAGTATAAAAGTAGAAATTTTGAATTTCCCCTATTTAGAAGTCATGTTTTGGAAGCAATAGGAATAGATGAAATTACCAAGAAAAAAAAAAGTATATATACAGGTAGAGGGGATATTTAGGAGAAGTAAGAAACACAGAGATAGAGAATTCAGGAAAATAGAATGTGGAAATCCAGGGTAGAGAGATTTAAGAGGGAGGCTTGGTCAGCAGTGCAAAAGACTAAAAAGGTCGTGGAGGCTGAGAATGAGAACAGATTGTTGTACATAGAAATTAGGTCTTCAGCGGGACCTCCAACAATGAAGCTTTTAGAATGCTCGAGATGAAAGCCAGGTTGCAAATGGTCAAATATGTGTTGTGGGTAGGTAAAAAAAAATAGAGACAAGAAGACAGAACGTGCTTTGTAAAAATCAACCATCCAGAATGGTGAGTGAAGTAGGTAGTTTGTTAGGTTAACAGGATCATACCAAGTTTGGAGAATTTTGTTTGTGTTTTTAGTCACAGCAAGACCAGAGAAGGCTCTGAACAGAGAACAGATGGAGGCTGTAAAACTAAAGGGAGATAAGTGATGAGCAGAACAAACTCTTAAGAATTTGGAGAGATTTGGACTGAGAATTTAGTTAATCTCTCTGAAACTCAGCGGGGAGCCAGTGACAGCTCAGAATTCTGTGGAAAGCCCATCTCTGTTCTTAGGTGGAGGAACAGATTATGGGTGACTCTAATTTTTCTTTTAGTTTTTCTGTATTTTTAATTTCTTTAGAATGAACATGGATCATTTGAACATTAATTTTGCTTTTAAGAAAAAGAACCTAAGATAGGTGCCTCCTCTCCCCAGAGACACTAATAAATGAGGCTTTTACCCCTTCACAGCTTCGGCCAGGGCCACCCCCCTCCCACTGCACCGTCTTCAGCACACTTCTCTCTGAAGGATAGCGAGCAACCTTTACCTTCAGAGAGGTTAGGAAAGCCAGACATCTTTCTGTGATGTTTGAGGAAGGAGAGGCAGACCATATAAATGCTGAAGGCACCAGATCCGTTGGATGAGTGGGAAGAAAGTAATAAAATTTATGAGAAAAACAGTTGCCTGTGTACTGCCTTGAAAGCTGTGGCCTCACTGTAGCAAGGGAGCCTGTTCATACATTGCTAATGCTCATTAATTACTTAGTAAGTATACTAACTTAAGGATTCACTTTGACTAAGTGCCTCGAGCCTTCGCATCAGCTTTGTGCTTTGGAACAAAGTTCACATGAACTTTGTGCACCACAGTTCACATGAATGATGTTTATATGAGTGCTAAATTGATACAGATTAGTTCTTTTAAAAGTGTGAAACAAATCATTAACTTCCATTTTATGAATATTTATTGAAACGTATAACTTCAAATATATAGCCTTTTCGGCGTTGCAGAAGTAAAAAGGTATAAGTAATTTAGGTGTTTTACTTTGTAAATATATTATTACCTGTACCTAATGTTATTTGACTGGTGTCTTTTAAAACTTGTATTCATTAATCCCGTGCTCCCCCAGTGTGTCAGCTGTACATCAAGCAGGCCGAGAATATATTTGGGTGAGAAGAGATAGAATGTATTGGGCTAATTCTTATTTAAAACCGGTACCTGGAAAAATGTTGATCGGAAAAAATTGCCCTCAGTTTCTGTTTGCTCCACGAGACAGGCAGCGGGTGGGGTCTGCTGACAGGGTGCCGACTGCCCTCCCCTACACTGAGTGCTGTCCCTTGTCCCACCTGCGGGATGTCACAGAGCTGCTGAGGGCCCTCTGCCCTCCCCTACACTGAGTGCTGTCCCTTGTCCCACCTGCGGGATGTCACAGAGCATAGCAGCGGGGCTCATGGGGAGGGAATCCTGACCTCAGGCAGGGCAGCTTGTGGAAAGCCAAAGGTGACAATCACAGCCAACTCGGTTGAAAAGTGTTGCCCTGTGACCCTTATTGGTATCATTTTGGGCTGCTTATCTGCCTGGCACAGGTCAGAACTACTCACGTCCACATGCCGGACTTGTTGCAGAGTCCGAAGTTTAGGCTGATAAAGCTGCCACAGAATAAATTCCCTTGTTCCATGGAAACTGTCACATTCCGGCCCTGACTCGCCCAGCGCTGTGACAGCGCCCAGCCCTGCCGAGGGGACAGGAAAGCTAGGCCTGAAGTAGCTTTGCCCTCTGTGCCACTCTCGTCCCCACGGTCCAGCTACACTGTCCCACACCCTGGACTTGGCCTTCCCTTTGTGCCAGGAGAGAGCGGCGTCTCTGCTTGTGACTGTTCTAGTGACAGAGCTAAGCTGGTGCCCCGCTGGTGAATGGCTCGTGGTCACAGTGCTTCGGTTCACATGAATGAGCAGCAACGTCACTGTAGCTAAAGGTAGATTGGTTGTAATTCAGTGATATTTTATAAAAACAGCCCTGAGCTATGACTGGCTAAGCACTGGGTACCTTACCTGCACTTTTCCATTAAGATTGCCCTAAGCACTTTTTCTTCTAGGCTGATCTTAAACACGACTCCAAAAGGAGTATGGGACATTGGTTAGCTTTTAGAACTTTTCCAAAACTTTAATGACTTTTACCTGTACTAAGTGTCAGTTTAAGTAATTCGTGTTATTAATGTTTCACCACTTTTAATAAAATCGTCATGCTGTTTATTCTCCCTCCGTTATAGGTATGGAACAGGCTGCTTCTTACTATGTAATACAGGCCGGAAGGTGGGTCTTTTCAAATCAAAAGATTGGTTCCCTGGCTGGTGTGGCTCAATGGTTAGAGCGTTGGCCTGCGCACACGAGGGTTTGGTTCCTGGTCGAGGGCACGTACCTGGGTTGCAGGTCCCGTCCCCTCCCCCAGGTGGGGCACATGAGGGGGGCAATTGATGTGTCTCTCTCACATCTAGGTTTCTCTCTCTCTCTCTCCTCCCTCCCCTCTCCATTCCACTCTCTAAAATCAGTGGGAAAAAATATCCTTACTCCTTGGGTGAAGATTAAAAAAAAAAAAATTGGTGAAAGTCTTCTTTAACTTCATATAAATGATGCTTTAGCATAATTTGCTATTAAGCTGCTCTTATTTAATCTTTATCGGGGGCTAATTAAGAGCTCAATGATGTCACAAAATTTTAATGGTTCTTACACCATTCTACATTCTTTGAATTTTATAGGTTTTAATTGTGCTGGAGAGATATGTACACTAGGGCCTTGTTAGATTTTTTTTTTTTACCTTGTTAGATTTTTTTTTTTAATATGTCTTTATTGATTTCAGAGAGAGGAAGGGAGAGAGAGAGAAACATCAATGATTAGAGTCATTGATCGGCTGCCTCCCGCACGCCCCCTGCTGGGGATCGAGCCCGCAACCCGGGCCTGTGCCCTGACCGGGGATCGAACCCTGATCGCCTGGATCCTAGGCTGATGCTCAACCGCTGAGCCACGCCCGGCCGAGCGACGTTGTTAGATTCTTAATGCAAATGTAATTTGGAACAAAGGATAAACTCGTAGTGTATTGTTCCTAATACTGGTAATTTTGACTAAGATTGATTTTTAAAATTGTTATACTTATTGAATTACTTTGTACCTAGGTTATTTTAGCTTTAAATAATGAGCTATCTTTTTTATTTTCCTGACTACCGAAGTCTTTTTCTCTTTCCTATAGTGTGTATTTTCTGAGCATGGCCTTCTGACCACAGTGGCTTACAAGCTCGGCAGAGACAAACCCGTGTATTATGCACTGGAAGTAAGTACTTTCCAATCAATATGGAAAATATGACAAACATTCAAAACTAAGAAAATCACAGCATTTTCTAACACCTGTTCTGGCAAATCATAATATATAGGACTGAAAAACCTCAGTTTTCTTCTTGACATTTGGTTGAGTGGAAGGAGCCTGGGACTGAGCTGGGGGTCAGGGGTCCCAGAAAACCTTGAGTATATTGGTTCCTCAGTTCTTTTACCAATTGATTGTGGGACCTTAACCACATTGCTATTATCTAGCTGCTTCACAAAGTAAAGTTTTTCTATTTCTAACGTATAATGAGGCATTGATTTGCTCTAATATCTCTTTCAGCTTGAAAATTCTGTTTTTATGACCACAGTGCCCCAGTGTTCCAAAGAGAAACAGTGGGCACAGAAAGGCAGAGCAGCTCTCTTCATGTGTCTCTTCATCAAAATAGTGTGTGTTACATTTTGATGTGGGAGATGAAGTGAGATTTAGGCCATATTTCGCTGAAATCATTTGTTTTAAACCGTTTGTAAATTCCTATAGGAATATGTCAGCCTAAGTCTATAGAGCATGGTAAGTTTGCATTAAAAACCTTAGAAACATTTACTTCAAAAGTCAAAGAAGCAGTACTCTTGGTAAAATCAGATACATTTCTTAAAAGCATTTCTTTACAATGAATTTTAAATGGCTCCCTTGTAATATACAAATACAGGGTATGATCTGAAAACTTATTGAGTCTTGTTTCCTGGAGTACCTAATAATTTTCTCAGAAGTGTTAGATTTGCTTTTAGTTAAAACATTTTATTAGTTAGTAAGCGTAGAGCATAAGGATCTTTAGTTTATTTCAGTTATTTCTTGCCCTCTCCCTTATAAGCACTGTAACCTCTGCCCCAACCCCTTTTCTATGGATAATAGGAGCATTTGTGAAACACTTGGTCTGTGTATTAAAGGTGTCCTAATACTTCTCGGAACTTAAACTCTTACAGGCTCTCTCCCTCTGTCGCCC